AGATCAAACTGTCAAACTAGGCAGTGCTGATCAAATATGGATCAGATTCTGTTACTGTGTTGACAATTTCTCACTTCATCTCTTCAGAAACATAATTTAGTGTACTGTTTATCTGGAATATGAGATTGTGTGACCAGGTGAGCTACGGACGGGTCAAAACTGCACAGCCAATGAGAGCAGCTCAACTGGTAGTATGCCACCTACGCTGGCGCCGACTGTCATGGCAATGGCCAAAACGCCAAACTGGAGGCTTCAAAACGATACACAAACCAATGGGTGACGTTACCAAAGGTTCACATTTGATACAAAGATATTTTTATTGGAGACAAGGTAGTCCTTCTGTTATAGAAGATGGTCACTCACAGAAGCCCCAGTGTAGAAATAAATCTATGTGAGATTGATAACTTTGATCTTACTAAACTGAAAACCATAGTAATAGTTTTTCAGCTAGCTCTTCTTGTACAACATATTCTCCATCACACTTCTTTGATCACTGTACTCAACATGACTGATATAGATTTTTTATGAAACTGCTACACATGTTAATAATGTTAATGTGTGAATGTAGCAAATCACCATCTGTATTATAAGTAGTACAACTTAGTACAACCAAGCTTCAGAGGTTTTCAGTTACTTATCTGTGACCCATTGCTGTGTAATCCCACTTTACACCCAAAGCACTGTACCTTTCCAATTACTACATCCCCAACACACACTCCTGCTCCTGTGCTTAGGCAGATGTGGCTCGATTAACATGCAATTAACACAAATTAAAAGGCCAAACAGAGCTAAGGCAGTTCCCAGTGGAAGACTTTAGCTCTGGGGCAGGAGGGAGGTGATGGGAGGAGAGAACAAGGTGATGGGGAGGGATGTACAGTAGGATGAGGAAAGGAGCTCTGATTGGACAATTAACAGCCCCTTGATTTGCAATTTGTAAATGCATTTATGTTCATGTCAATTATCTGAAAAGAAAAGCTGACATTATCCTAAACATGTTAAATATAGATTCAATTCAATGTCGCTATTTCTTGTTTTAGGCATTGAACTAAGGTGTTAACCCTAACCCAACCACACCTGTATAACCCTGACCCTAAGCTCTTCACCAGCGGGTAGGTAGGTTTTTACAGGTTAATAACAATCATTTCAAGTCTGTGTCATTCAAATCCAATAAAACCAATGTTTTTACAAAAATGTCCATCCATCCACAAACAAATGATTTTTGGAAAGATTTTCAAAAACACATGGGACACAGGATGTGAACCCTGGTCCCTGCTGCCAAAGACCTGTGTCCACCCACACTTTCCATTGCCAAAATGTATTTTGTACAGCAGAAGGGTCATCTGTGGTCAAATCTGAGTCAGTAAAATACGTTAATAAGTCGGAAATAGTCGTGTCTCAGTGTGTGTGTGGCATGGAGGTTGAGTGGATGTTGACAGGTGGAGGTGCAGGAGGACTGGGGTTAATTACACCGGTGTCCACACCGTCCATCTGACCTGTAACACCCTGTGTGTGTGTGTGTGTGTGTGTGTGTGTGTGTGTGTGTGTGTGTGTGTGTGCGTGCGCGTGTGTGTGTGTGTGTGTGCGTGCGTGTGTGTGTGTGTGTGTGTGCGCGCGTGTGTGTGTGCGTGTGTGTGTGTACGTGTGTGTAGATAAGGGACTAAGTGCCTGGGTGAGAGTGCTTTATCATTACAGGGTCCCAGTGTCTGCCATTGGCTGACGATTGATATGAGCTCTTTGCTATTGAACTCTCTCTCTCTCTCTCTCTCTCTCTCTCTCTCTCTCTCTCTCTCTCTCTCTCTCTCTCTCTCTCTCTCACACACACAGGCAGCTGATTATTGCTGCGTCCCATTCAGTAGAGCACTCCTTGCCTATTCACCTTTCTGTGTGTGTGTGTGTGCGTGCATGCGTGTGTTTGTGTGATGTAATGCCATTATCCTCACTTGCCTGTCTCTCCATTTTTACTGTTCTCTCTTCAATCAGCACTTATCCTGCATGCATCTCTGAACTCTCCCTCCCTCTCTGCTCTCCATGCTCTCTCTGCCTCTCTCTCTCTCCGTCTCTCGGTATAAATGCCGCTACCTTCAGCACTTCTCTCTCATTGATCGGGCAGGTTTAGCTGACATCATCGTTCCATCTCCATCTCTTTCTTTTTCATTCTCTCTCTCTCTTCATCCCCTGTACATCAACTCCTTCTCTCTCTCTCTCCCTCTCTCTCTCTCTCTCTCTCTCTCTCTCTCTCTCTCTCTCTCTCTCTCTCCTTTTTTTGCTTCCCACTGCAAACAGCACAGTTTGAAACATTTAGAAGTGGTTATGACCGCAACCAGAACGTCTCTATTTTTAACAGGTCAATTCACTGAGTCGAGGAGTAGCAGTTCAAATAGATGATGTGAATACCAACAAAAATAATTGTGCCAGCCACTCAGGCCAGCCATACAATGCATCATCAGACCTGGGTTCCCTCGAACCTAAACCAATATTAGAAACTAAACCTGACAAACAAAGCCTCTAAAACTGGACTATCTGACCCATCATCCAAGAGTAGATAACACAAGATCAAATCAGGAGTACATCTCACTCCCTTTATTTGATCATTGCTCACTCCTCGCATGACCCAGATATTGTTCCGGTCTGCCATGTTCCAATGCTTTTATTTCTGCTCTGAGGAGCAGGAGGGACCATCAAAGTTCGCCACAGAGCTGTTAACACCTGCAGACTGGCATCTGATCCAGCTGTTCCGTCATCATCAGAAAGGGATGTCACTTACGTCATGTTTCGCTAATGACATGTTTCCACTATTCCCCCTCATTTCCTGCAACTCTTATGTCCTCATTGGGAGGGACTAAAATTCAAAGGCAAGATGGAAGGGAAGGGTGGACACATTTAAGAGAATTGCAATGTACCTCAAGCCATCTGAGGGGAGAGCCATCTTTTTGTCTGTCTCTGTGTCTTATGGAGACTGCTGTCTCACGAACAAAAGCATTTTAAAATGCATTCATTATTCGTTTCCCCACAGTGTAGGTCCAACAGAGAGTGTATTTCATACACCAACACCACAGAAATGATAACTGGATAAATGGTTGAAGCTTGTGGCACAAGTGCTATGAAGGCAAAGCAGTTCAACTGTAAGAAAAAATATTCTAATAACATCTATCTTTATATATACAATAGTGTCAAAGGTCCAGTGTGTAACATTTAGGAAGATCTATTGACAGAAATAGGATCTAATATTCATAGATAGGTTTTTAATAGTGTATAATCAACTGAAAATAAGAATTGTTGTATTTTTGTTATCTTAGAAGCTGTTTTATCTACAGAGGGAGTGGTCCTTTTCTGCAGAATCCGCCATTTTGAACTGCCATGTTTCTACAGTAGCCCAGGACAGACCAATCAAACATTGGCGCACCATTTGTATTCAAATGGTTGCAATCTGCAATTTCACCATTAGATGCTGACTGATCTGGGGAAAAAATGTCAGCCTGCAACAATGTAGTTGCTCAGTTGTGAATGTTGATCAGAACTGTTCTTGCTTGCCGGTGCCAGTAGAGACAGTCCAACCAAAGGCCATATCGTTCCCAGCCTATGGGATGCAGAGCAGGATAAAGCTAGTGTTTCGTCTGCAGTGTACAGTTTACCTATTGTTTAGGCCAGTGGTTCCCAACCTTTTGTCCTTGAAGCTCCCCTTGCGTGTGTCCAAGACAAGTCAGGCCCCCCCAACCCCAACCCCTACCCGCATATATGCACTAAATAGGTAATAAATAGCTTAATGAATTTAAATGTGGACCAAAAATATGTTTCAATTTGGATTACACAGAGTTTTGATTATCCAATTGGGTGTGTTATCAGGATTTTATAAATTTAATTTTTGTAAATAATAATTTTGGTAACCTCACAACCTCAGCAGACAAAGTTTTGCGCCCCCTCTGCGATCTCTTGCGCCCGCCAGATTTATTATAGCCTAAACCAGTGGTTTAGGCTATAATAAATCTTGCTGACATAAATTCATAGTGAACATCCCAGCAAACAGTGAGGTTGGGAACCTGCTGTTTTTCTAATGTGCAACATAAATTGTTGGGTGAAAAGGGGTCATGACTGATTCTGACTGGCTCCAGTGGGCTTTTTGCTGTAGCCAACCAAAACTATTTGTCTTTTATTGGAGCTAATGGCTCAGATTGTGATATTACAGAGTCGCTTCAGGTTGTTTATGACTGTCAGAGTATGTAGTAGCAGTTGTTCCATCAGTTCCGCAACTGAGAGAGAAAAAACAAACCTGTCACATGATTCCCACAATTTCCAAAAATTGCTACTGCTGAGTGCTGTTCCAGGGCTTGTTCCAAATATAGAGCTGTTGCGCACAGCCTCCAACAATGGTCGACTGACCTCTGAAATACCCAGAATGCATCATTACATGACATCACCACCATCCATTTTCCACCACTTATCTGGGTATCAGTTGTGGTGGGATCTGGCCCAGAAAAGTAGCACAGACATCTATCTTCTAATGTTGGTGTTTGGGGTTGAAGAGAAAGGAGAATAACCACTAACGATATAACGGCTGTTACTGGTTATACACAAAGGATCTTCCCTCTTAATCAGAGAGTCTATCTCTGAAGGGATCCTTTCCATAATATTGTCAGACACTTAGAATAACAATGTGGGCCAGTTAGTGGCAAAACAAAGCATTTTTAGGACGTATATTGATGTGCACATTGGCCCCCAAGGATTACGTTGCACAAGGCGACCAATTCCAAAACCTTTTGGACCTATTAAAAAATATCGGAATTACCCTTTAACCATACCAAAACCTTAAGACTTAACATTTAAAGCTACACAGGAAGAAACGGAATGGAGTTGTTCTATCAGTCCTCCACTAGCGTACAGGGTCTGTTTTTTTCATGTCCCTCGAGCACCTTGCCTCTCACCTGGCTCTTTTCTAGTCCTCTCAGGATTTTTATTTACTACTATAGGAGCTAATCTGTGGCACGCTGTGTGTTTCTGTGCAGCAGGCAGAGGAGGTTGCACAGACGGAGGGCTCCCAGCAGCTCCACCTGCAGCCCAGCGACTCGTCGGAGAAGCAGCAGCCCAAGAGGTTACACGTCTCCAACATCCCTTTCCGTTTCCGAGACCCTGACCTCCGGCAAATGTTCGGGGTGAGATGACAACTGCACCACACACACACAACTTCACTGCTTCACTGTACGGATATACCATACACTGCAGGGCAATATATCCAGTTGAAATCATTCACTTTAGCGTACTATACAATACTCCTGCCTGTACTTTTCAAGAACACAGTAGCAAATTCATACAAAACAAGATATTTTAAGAGAAATCTAATACTAGAATTATCAAAGTAAAAGTAAATCATAAATGGGAGGTCAGAGGCAAGTATGAGCAGATTACATACCTCGCTTGTTTCTAATATGGACTGTGAAACTGGCAGAAGGAACCACTAGTTTGAAATCTGAAGCTGGTAATCTTGTTTCTTATGTAAAATAGGTTTTGTGGCCTACTTTCTATATACAGTATTAAAGTATTAAATCGTGTTTCAGGCAGTGTACATCAGGTATTCCATAGGATGCTTTTCAATGCACCAGCCACTTCCACTATCACTATAGCCTTGCTCCATAATGCTGTAAATAATTCACAGCTTTACCTCTGTATGGCCCCTAACCCAAATTAGGCAGAGCTTATTAATGTTTCATCTTCGGTGCCCGTCCTTAAGTGGTCCTTGGAGAGTCGGACTTGTGGATAGGTGGATGCTGCAGTTCTTTTTATCTGTGTGAAAGAAACAGTTCAACAGCAACAGTTAGTGTATAATGCTAAGTTAATGGAACTTAACCATAGAAATGGCACATGGAAAACGCTCATATGACTTGTTAATGCAACATATTGATAATTTAAGAAGGTACTGACAAAAGACCTACTTTGTTGTTTAGGTATGAGGAGTGTTGCGTAGCTTTTAGAGATGGAAACATGTGGCTCCACATGACAAAATCTGTTTGATGTCACGTATTGTATTGTCACCATGCCTGAATTAGTAAACAAAAGTTAATATTTTATAAATGCAAAATAATAAAAAAAACTGTTTAACACTGACATGTTAAATATATTAAATACTATTTACATCAGACATATAGTATTGAAATGTAAGTTGTTTTGGTTTTATGCTGTTATGATTACATGAAATGGAAATATTACACATCCTGTCTACATTCACTTAAAAAACCTTGGAATCTTGACTAGTAGCTGAAATAAAGTTTTGGTTTGGTGGCATCACATGCATTTGAATCATGAACCTACCTCACCTGGTACCTACAACTCTGTTCTAGAATAGAAAATACACTAGGACAATCAGTTAACCATGTCACAGCATACAAAGAAATAATGTATACAATTAAGCCGACAGGTCACTTGAATGTTGACCTATGCTTGCACCTCCACTGTGAGACATTATTTCCTTCAATTTAACTGTCTTTCATCATGGCTCTGCAACTCATGGTTTAACAGCAGGTAGTGACGCGGTTGTACACCCTTTATAGTTCCCTCCCTGTTTGTACTCTTTAGATCAAGTGCAACGTTTAGATGACATTAACTATAGATGCAGTTCACTGTGTTCTCAGTGGAACGTCTCACTGCAACATGGCATAGAGAGGAGTCTCTGCCTCGCAAATTGCAGCTCTGCATGTCTGATTACCAAGGGGAAGAGAGAGAGGGGGCAGCTAGTACCATGCTTGCACAGGAAACACTGACCGCCTAATTCCCAAACTGCTGCGAAAACACACATTGTAGAAATCAAGTTCTGTGTGTGTGTGCCCAAGCTTGTTAAGACAGTGCCCAGCCAAAGCCGCTCAAGTGTTTACTGATGATGAAGTCTACCTAACTACATACACACAGGCAGGCACATTACTGAATATAGATTAACTGACACAAACCTGGTGCTAACATTTCATATAATAGGAGGCTGGAGATTTACCCCCCTCTGAAACCACCACCCACCTCCCTGTTCCTCCAATGGAGTGGAACATCTGCTCCTGCAGGCACTTTGTTCCAGGAGGAGGGGAGCCGGCCCCGCTCTCCTTCCCCAGCCTCGGAGTGCTTGATGTGGGGAAAAGAGGAGGGGACTGAAGGGCCCGTCAGTGGAGACACAATTAATGGGATTCCTCAGCAAGGTTAAAAGGGAGTTTATCCTCATTAGGTGTATATTGGGTGACAGCTCCAGTTATGGGTGCGAAGTAGGTGCGCGTGTGTGTGCGTGTTTGTGTGTATTCTTGAAAAGGAGTGGAACTTTCTCCCAACTGACTCCAGTCACTTTTAGTGAGGTCTCCAAGGCACTGAGCACTGCACCACAATTAACCAGTGACATCATCAGGTGGAGGCGGAGTAGAGATGGTGAGAAGGAAAGAAGCAGAAGAGTGGGATTAGAACAGACAGACAATGCAGCAGCTCTCACCACAATCAGTGATACTCAGAGGTCATCCAGCACTGTTAAGAGCACCATCACAGAGACTGAAGATCCAAATCACTGGGACCCAGGTGAACTGGAGCCATGCATCAAACTTTTTCCATCAAAATAAGTGCACATTTCTTTCACTGAAAAATGGTTTTATGACAAAGAATACAAATTACATTCAACTCAAATTTGTGGAATAATTCTGATTTATTACAACTTGGGCCTTATTATAATAGTTTCAAACATCTTTCCTGTCAGTAATAGCAACATTGGACTTTCAGACATTAATTGAACATAATGGCAATTTTACATGTTGGTCTCATGTCTGAAGTAGCTGCAGAGGCAGGTTTACAAAAGATTAACAGTGGCAGTCTTACTAGATCAGACCCGTAACATTTCTGTAACCCTTTTCTACAAGTCTGAATTGAATATCAAAACTTTAATGTTAAGGATATGCAGGACCAAGTGTCACGGAAATAATAAAAATGCATTTCATTTTTCAATAACTATTTGTACAATGAAAATAGACATTAATACATTGGTTTACAAGTTAATTAATTCATCTATAAATGAATAGACTAAATGACAAAGTAATCCATTATTTGATATTTTAATGGCCAAAATACTACTACTACTAATAATAATAATAATAATAATAATAATATATATATATATATTTATTTATTTTTTACAAATGTACAATAAATAGTTCAAATTAAAACGGTATTTACAAAAACAAAATAAAACAGTCAATGAGTACATAATTTCAAACACAATGTTGCAAAAGAAAGCTAGGATATGAGGCAGTTGCAGCTCTCTAACCAATCAGAGAGCTTGTAACATCCCATGGCTAATTTTTAATTCACTAAAGCCCACAGAAGGGTTAAATGGAGAGGCCAAATGACTAAGCAAATCAAATAGCTAATAGGAAATGCAAAAGGCAAAGGAAATTGCCCATTTAAATTCCTGATTAAAATCTGTATTCTTAATTCAATTTGTAAATCCAGTTATTTTTTTCTCCTTTTAAACTGCATTTCAAACAGATTTTTAAATTACATAATTTATTTATGAATTTATTCATGTATTTTTAACTGACTGTTTAATTTGTTTTTGTAAATTCCTTTTAAATTGGAACTAAATCTTTTTTCTAATTTAATATTATTATTATAAATTAAAATGTAAGATAATAACTTACTTTGAAATTTAGTCTATTATCTATTTTATAGATTAATAAAAATAATTTGTAAACAAATGTATTGAAGCCTATTTTTATTTAGTTATTAGTTATTTATTAATGAAATTATTTATTACTATTTCTGTGACAAGTGTGTTCCTCCATAGGGTGCAACTGCTCCGTGTTAAAACAGAGATACTAAATGCACATGTTGTTCACCTTATCGAGAGCAGTTTAATAAGTTTAACACTTAATTATCATCTCTTATGCACAAAGAAAACAAAATAATTAAAACTCGGTGAGTGAGCCATTATGAAGCTACTGAGAACATTCTTCTGATTTCTGATCAGTTTATTAAAATGATTTGATGATGATCAGACTTCATTGTACTGATGTCATTGTGTTCCCAGACCTCAGCTACTGACTTGATCGAGGACATTTATTTATCATTATACAATCATTATAATTTAAAACATTATACAACAAAAGTTTGTGACCCCTTCATGCTACACACGTAGATAAAGATCATGAAATGTATTAAAATAACATATAAAATAAAACAATAAATACAGCTTTTATATACACATACACGTAAACACCCAAGAAATAGTTCTGCAGTGCATTTTTTAAAATTGCTTATTGGGGAATGCAAACAGCAGCAACAACATAATGATGAAAAAAGATGTACACAATATAACTATATAATTGCAGTTAGAAATTATGGACAAAGCTGAAAATGCAACCCAGGATGTAAATAAACCAAAGATTCCCTTACTCCACCCGTCCCCCATCTGGAGATCTGTCTGCTCCTGAAAACACAAAATGAGAAACTATCAAATGAGAGTTGCTTTTAGCTTTAAGCCAAGTTATAAGTCTAAATATAGTTTGTTATTTTATAGAATTCACTAGCAGCAGATATGTAAAGTTGTGTGGTTTAGGCAAAGCTTAAAGGCATGTTTCTTTCTCTGTTTCCCCTTTTTACTTTTATGGCATTTCATTTTGGCAAACAATCAGTGTTGCAGGGTTAATAGAAAAGTTTTGACTCTAATGCTGACTTCACCAGTGACTTCCCAAACTGCTCTTTTTGTCACTTCAGCAGAGCAGTTTAGCAGTGTTGATCCATTGTGTTTGGTGGCTTTCTGCTAGAAGAGGCTGTCACACAGGCACATGTAGTATACACTCTCACACACACCTTCTCCTCTTTTCTCCCTGCTAATGGTCCGGCTTTAAGGATTAATGGATGTGGGCAGGGCAGTGGCATTGCGGTCCAGATTTTGTCTGGGCTCAGCCTTCGCCACAATGGGCTCATAGTGGCACTCTCCTCTATTCACTTAAAATGGGACTTGTGAGCAACTGGCTCAATCTCTCATTACGGTTCTGCTAGACTACCACCACAATGCAAACAAAGGCAATAGCTAGGACATTACAGCAAATGGAATTCTGTGTCATTTCAGCAAAAGCTGTAATAGAAAAGCAATACGAGAGCATTAAACAAAGCCATATAAAGAAGTTCAATCAAAGGT